GAATCCATTGCACCAAATGAGAGGACTTGAGATGGCTAGCTAGGAGTAGGGAAGTGAGTTCGGAGTCCTTTATGACATTATGTGTTACCCGGCAGTTGCAAGCACAAACGAACGAGAGTGTAGCACTACATTGGGGCTGTTTGGAATGTGCAACAAGACCATTTCATCACCGCCTAAGCAATGCATGCACACACAAATGCGCACACACACACACCACGCACATACGCACACACACACACACACGCACACACGCACACACACACCGCACACACTCACGCACACACACACACACACACACACACACACACACACACACACACACACACACACACACACACCACACACACCACACACACACACCACACACTCACGCACACACGCACACGCCACACACACACACGCACGCACACGCACACACGCACACACGCACACCGCACACACTCACGCACACACGCACACACACACACACACACACACCGCACACACACGCACACACACACACACAACGGTGTCTTACATTTTGCGGAGGATGAGGAAGACCATGACGACCACTATGACAATGGTCAGGCCGGCAAAGACGATGAAGAGAATGAAGAAGAGCTGATTGTTGTTGGTGCACACTTCCGGCGTCGCGCGTTCCTGTGCCTTCATTATCCTTGTTGCTAGATCAGTTGTATTGTCTGGAGGAGAAGAGGAATATGGAAGTTAATCACCAGTCACTCGGTGGAGAGCATTCTCAGACTAAGTTGGAGTAAGCGGGCAGTCACACTACCACCAACTACATTATCAGATGAGATGCTTTGGCGAAGTCGTGGACACGCTGCACAGCTCTGCACTCGCACTAGCAACTCCGGCTGCATGCCTAGCGCACATTAGGAAACCCGCCATGACATCGTTTGCATAACTTCTATACTAGCGTCAACGGACGAGCTGCCCGGGCCTCACCACCACTGCTGTTTCTGTGCAGCCTTTTCTATACATATGCATGTATACTCTGTATGTGCACACTCACATGTCTGAAGGGTTTTCAATAAAACAATTTTTTTTTTTTAACTTCGATCCAAACACCGTGTGGCGTCGGTGGCCGGGCATTTGGGGGTTTGTCTAATTCCAAGCTCGCTGGAAGCCGGCTTGAGTTTTCAAAAGTTGCTATGACAACATGTAATCATGTGCTGGGCTACCCAGCTTGCAGTTGGGTGGGGGGGGGGGGGGGGGAGAGGGGGCAGAAAGCTAGAAAATGCGTTGCTGAGCAAGTGCTTGGTTCTCAGTTGCTGCCGTCCACGCAGCAGTCCTGTCGAATAGTAAATTCGTTAACTTTCGTTAGCTTAGGGTAGATTTTGGCCGAATAGAGGCTTATAAACAACTATATCTACAGTTGCGCTCACTGAAATCCGACCCAATGTGCAAAGCTGGCGCCCTCAACTTCCACGGCCTTGACGCCCTAGCAGTGGAATGAATGCGGCTGGACGTACACATGTACACATACAATGATGTAATCGGAACTGGTCCAGGGCGCCAGCTTTGCACTATGGGTGCGATTTCATTGAGCGCCACTGTACAACTATACATGGGAGACTCCAAAGAAGTTAGGTTGCCACTTTCTAGTGAATGCATTGGACGGTGTTCATTATTTTGTAGTTTAGTGACTAACGGTCACACTTACATAACTATACATGGGAGACTCCAAAGAAGTTAGGTTGCCACTTTCTAGTGAATGCACTGGACGGTGTTCATTATTTTGTAGTTTAGTGACTAACGGTCACACTTACATAGGATAGTGATGTAGGTGATACTGGTGCTCAGTCCGGTGAACTGGTCGGTTCCGGTGAGAACAAAACGTGCCGTGGAGCCGTTACGCTGTACGGCCACCGGAGAGGGTTTGAACGTGACCGGCGAGATGCACGGAGTGTTCATCTGGTCGTTGTTGGGCCAGTCGGAGCGGGCAAACCTGAGCAGGACAGTTGCAAGGACAGGCGGACAGGCGGGTGTCAGGGGAGTCACACACGGTACGACCGGTGAGATCATGGTCGTACGACTTTTCGTCCAGGATGGTCTGCGCAGAGTGCCTGTAGAGTGCTGAAACCGTACTCTGTGCCGAAAAATCCAATTTTTTACCCGCGGGGAGCAAGAAAAAATGTCGGGATTTTCACATCCAGTCATACAAGAGCACACCACTAACGATTGGTGCTCCCAAGCCTAAGATCATGTGGCAGAGTGATAACATAGGGCATGATGTGATAAAGGTGACGGTGTGATAACTCTTAACACTCACAGGCATGAGTACTGTGTGCCCTCGTCACCGGTGAAGGCGAACGTCATCGAGTCGTTGATGGAGACGTATTTGGATGGCTTCACGCCAGTGGTCAGGATCTTGGGTGCGTTGGGATCTGAAACAGGCAACAAAGAAAATTCAACATGTGGACCACAATGTATCACACGACGAAGTTCATTTTCAAATTTGAAGCTCAAGCCAGCATTTCCGTCTCAGTTTGTATTTGTATATGTATTTATGGATTCTCCACAGGCCTTAGCCTAAATCAAGGGACATTACGGACATGAGCAATCCCCGCGAAACATTGTGTGTTTATGTGTGGCTTACTGTAGATAAAGGTGGTGACAACTGGAGACTGATCGATGTTGCCAGCCTGTAGGGACACGCAAACAATTAATAGATTTGTGAATAGAATCGTATTGTCTTCCACACTGTTGACTACTGCACACAACATTGCGTCAAATCTTTTGCAAGTTTTCAATAAGTTTCTAACATGTATGCGCTCAGAGGTTAGTATACTCAGAGAAAATAAACAAAACAAAAAAGTGAATGCAAGAACCGGCAGGAGGTGCAAATTACCGAGAGATGGTGGAGGTATTTACACCGTACTTCAAAGTACATCCACCATGAATGTACGGACATTCACATTTTTGTTGTTTAGACGCTCCGTTGATCCTGACACTCATGGACATATGCCTTCAGACTCCTTTTTCACATGACTTCAGACTCATGATCACATGACCTCAGGTTCATTGTTACCTGACCTCCGACTCCTGATCACATGTCCTCAGGCTCACAGTCACATGACCTCAGGCTCACGGTCACATGACCTCAGGCTCACGGTCACATGACCTCAGGCTCACGGTCACATGACCTCAGGCTCACGGTCACATACCATTTGAATTTTAGACTCATGATCACATGACCTCAGACTCATTGTCACATCATTTCAGATGCCGGGTCACATGTCCTCAGTCTGAAATCAGTACATATGGTAGAGTACAGAGTACTGTATTCCCCCTCCCAAAAAAAATCGCATCTTTTTACCCATAACCTCAGGGCCAACAAAGGCTTACTCTCTGGCTCCTGGTGGGACCTACAATCGAGCATAATCACTACGGAGGTGAGTATAATCATAACGATACGACATGGAGCTGGAAATGGGGATACAACTTACAATCAAGTGTGACTTACAATCGGGGAAATACGTATATGGAAGAGTACACACAAAAGTCACAAAGGGGGTTTGCAGATTTGTCGCAACTCCGACTTTCTTGCGCAATGCAATCATCAGGCGACAGATGACTGCATGATGATTGCATTGCGCAAGAAACTCTGAGTTGCGACAAATCTGTGAACCCCCGTTGTGCCTTTTGTGTGTGAGAGTGCTCCACATTATTGTGTCGAGCCCTCTCCGCTGGCAGAAAGAAGTTTTCCTCCTTATCTGGTAGAGTAAAGGGGTTTGCCAGTCTAGCTCACCTTGTCAATTGCGCGCACGCTGAACTGGTATGTGCCCTTGGTGCTGAGTCCGGAGATGGTGTTGAGGAAGTTTTGAGAGGTACCACACGACGCCCACGTGCACGGGTAGGTGGCAGTGGTGCACTGGGTGTACATCTGGCTTCTGCTGTCCTGCAGCTTCAGCTGACACTCAAACCTGACCCACGGGGGCAACACAAGGGACAAGAAATACAACAGCTAGTTAAAACATGGATGCGGCTAATGGGTTTTTTCCGGCACCTGTGCCAGTGGTTGTGAGACTTATCCACTCACCGCCAGGCGCCGCATCTGCCGCTAGAAAACGGCAACGTCTGTAGGGATTTCCCCATTAAAATGATAGAATCTATCACTACAGTTACTTTAACTACTATTACTACACACCTTTCATGCAGGTAGTCGGGATTGTCGGTGAAGTAGGTGAAGGAGATGTAGGAGTTGGCGGTGGCGTACGGTGTTGTACCCTCTAGAGCTGTCTGCGGTGGGATCGTGTCTGTAACGGACAACACCATGACAGAGGGGGGGAAAAAAAGAGAAGGGAAAAGAAAATTGAGACCAAACCGAACGATTCCACGCCCGAGGGTTCCTAAAAGTATACTTTGTTGTGAGTGCACTTCATCCCAATCACCAGCCCGAAAAAAACACAACCTTGCAACCTTTTCACAGCTATCCTGGCTCGTCGATCTTGTGCTGATAAAGTGATAATTCATAATACCACATTGAGAGGGGCAGTGGACAGCCAGAAAGAGGTGGCAAGGCGGCGGCCATACTCGTAGAAATCCTTCACATAAAGCTGTAGAGTAAGGATGTCCTACATCTCCTGGATACTGTATAACTCCGTACCCCATACTTACCCAGTGTTCAAACCGCAATGTCATACAGTTGAATTATGATACCAAGGGTAGAATAAACAAGAGTGTGCAACTCCGGGATGGGTTGGCCCGCGGCGGAATTTTTTGTTGACGTAATCTTTTCGACAATGCACGCGCTGCGAGTCTTTTGGAAAGTTTTGCCTCGTGCTCTTGGCCGGGCTTTACATTACAAAGTCGGTGCTCTCACACTGCTCCGGGGCAAAATGCGCGTTCTTCTGAAAAAAGGTGACGTCAACAAAAAATTCCGCCGCGGGCGGAGGTATCTGCAGATTGTGCAGAAGAGATCTGGAGTTGCACACTCTTGTTTATCTACTCTTGATGATACTCAGTAAGACGTAACTACATGGGCAGCAGTAGAGAATACAGTAAAACTTGTGACTAACGACCCTCCCTTGGAGCCGGAGAAAGCGGTCTTTAGTGGCGGGTGGTCCTTAGCGAGATAGAGGTTTGCACCACACAACCATAATCATATGAATGCGAGACCGTCCGTCCCGGCAAAGCAGTCAGTAATACCAGCCTGGTCGCTAGTCACGGTAGTCAAGGTAGTCTTTAGTTACAGGGTTTACTGTACTTAGCTTCTGAGGTCCTTCTTACCTCAACAAACTTCCGAGTGGATTAATGCACCCATGCTCCGGGCGTTGTTCGTATTAAACAAGACTAGGTGCTATAAGAGTAGGTGCTAAGGAAGTTCCACTATGTATGCTGAGTTCGTCTTGTCGACGTGCACCGCAATTTCCAATTTTCTGATCCCTTTCTGGTCTGGTGAGAGCCATGGCATACGGGTGTGAAGTTAAACACCACATGGGTGCAAAGCACAGTTGATGCGAGGTAGATGTATCACGCCTGGCAAACAATAATTATACGTCATGTCAGACCCACCTCTTTGCCCCCCGCCCCCCACACACACAGAGCGGTACTAACCGATGACAAACTCAAAGGCAGCAGTCTTGCTCGTGCGGTTGAACACATCAATGATCCTGGTTTTGAAGTTGTAGAATCCATCGGGCGTGGACAGCATCTGTGTCATGAAAACACAATGATACCGACCGTTGGTGCAAACCAACATACTGTATGTCAACACATATTCGGCATATATTTATTTCCAGTTATTTTCGGCCTGGTCATGTTTTCCCGGAAATTTTGTTGCGGCCGAAATTTTGTTTTGCAATGTTCAGTGTGACAGTGTATACAGGCAGCAGCAGTACAGGCCGAAAATTTGATGCGGCCAAAATGGGTTTTAGTCCTGGGAGGCCGAAATTTGAATCGGTCGAAAATGTGTAGCCTTTCAGTACGCACAAACACACAACACGCGCACACGTATCTTTTCTCCCTTTCCATCGTCATCCTAACATTGGGCATGATTGCCCGTTTGACTTGCGATGTAAAATAAAAGCAATACAAAATACAATACATGCTTAACCGTATACCAACAATCACCACCCCATCATGTCTAACACACTCACAGCAACGGAGGCATTCAGCATATCCAGCAAGTCAGCCGTGTACGACACCGAGGCAGGGCTGGACATCGTCGACGAGCGGTTAACACACGGCTGCCACACTCCCGCAAAGCGCACAGTCTTGTTCGGATGCAAGCGGTCGACCGCACACTCGGCGCGTACCCTCGGGACTGGGGTGCTGCAAACGGGAAAAAAGGTTAGACGGAAGAAAAGAACAGAATGATGAGGTCATTGAGATTTTCTTCAGAGTCCAAGGCGCACAAAGAGTTTTTCGTCACAAAATACAGACCTCTACCATGTATATCATCATTCATTTGACCATCGTAGAGTAAAGTGAGATTCACAGAAGAGCATTTTTGCGATGTGATGCGCGATGCGACGGCCGCGAAACCGGGAAATCCCCAAATCGTAGCCATCTCGCAGCCCACGCAACTGCTGCAACTGGGCCATCGCAGAAGTTTAGCTTGGCTCAACTTCTGCGATGCGGCAAGCGACGTGGCGTACGATTTTGACCTTTTCTGCAGCAAAGTTGTACAAGAGAGGAGCCCACGATATGCATAGGAAAGGGGAAATTCCATCGAGAGGAGCCCAGCAATATGCAGAGGAAAGGGGAAATTCCCTCGAAAGGAATGATGACAGGTTATAGTTACTGGCACCAGGTTAAAGGCATTACCGCAACGCCATGGCAACGTTCCTACCTGATTCTGAAGTTGAGGTTGTTCCAGCGGTTGACGTAGTACTGGGGTCCAGAGAGCACCTTTGTCTCTGGTGGGCTGGGAGCTAGATATCACAAGCAGCAGCCACAGCAGCAGCAGCAAACAATAGTTTTCTTCTTCTATTTTTCCTACAAAATCCACTGTGCAGTCCTAGACCGGCGAACACCGGCATGTGGAACTGGGAGCAGGGCGTGCACTTGATCCCCGTGATCGGATTCGATTGAGCAGCACAGGGTGTTTATGTGTATAATGGTAGTGATCGAAGCATTGCCTTCATCACTACAAGTCTATACCTAAGCAGTCGCCGTTATACTTTTACCCAAAAAATGTTATTGAGCAGCACTGCCAAGGTCTAGAGTGAGAAACGACTAGAAGAAAAAGGCTGTAAGAAGATATGGAAAATTGTGCATGCCCCACATGTTGAAAACGAACTACGGACTTCCAAAAGCCAGACACAGAGAGGAGCTTGTCCCTTACCATCAGTCCACATATAGGTCTTGGCTGACGTCACTGGGTCGGTGTTGCCAGCACGATCTGTTGCTTGAACCTGCAAAAAAACAAACAACACAAAACATGAGACACATGCTGTTGGTGGTCGACTTCACCTAATAAGAAAGTATGCGGCAGCCATTGGCTGTTGAAAATCCTGCGTTGATTTCATCACCACCACGGTCGTGCAGTTTGGCTGACCACGCACACTGGTCCACAGCAGCAACAAGACGTTACGTAGTCAACAACAAAAACCTCACTCGCGTACGCCTCATTCAGACTGAGTCAACACCACTGCGAACAGGAGTAATGATGTTGCCATGGTGAGCCAGCATATTTGCTTAAACTGTGCTCCCTTCACCACCAAAAGGAGACTAATCGGTTGCCTCACCTTGAACATGTACGTGTCGAACTTGTCAATCTTGTTGATGGTAATACCCGGTGCACTGCACGGGATGGGGTTAACCTGAACAAGCACACACACACACAGGGAACGCACATAACATACAAACAAACAAACACACACACACACACGCACACACACGCACGCCGACACACGCCGACATGGATAATGGTCACCATGTGCCTGACAAAGCCAGGCAAAGCCAGGCAAAGCCAGGCAAAGCCAGGCAAAGCCAGGCAAAGCAACTCCTGACTTCAAAATTGCGCAATCTGCAAACAGCAGTGCAGGTGACGAAATATCTCTGCGACCACAAATTGACTTGACGCATTTTCCCCTTCCGTTCTTTTCTACTACCCCAGCCATTCTCTCCTCTCCTCTTCTAAGTAGCCCTTTGTCAAGGGGCACATTTGCCTCTTCGGTTCAAAGACTACTGAAGTACCCTATTATCTCTAAAATAAGCCCGGTCCTTTATTTTTTCAATGTACCTCCGCCCCGTGCTATTAATGGAGACGTTCCTTTATTGGAGACTGTTCCATTATTATTTCAACCTCATTTCAGAGGCATGTTGCCATGCCAAATTCATGTCAGACACACACATTTCAGGGTTCTTTCGCCGGTACTGCATTTTAGAGATGATACGGTACATGCCTTTTACCAGGTACCGATAGACAGTGTGCTTACAATGGAGACTGAGCACTTTATTTTTTGAATGCCGCCCCAAGGTGTTCTATTATTGGAGACGTGCTATTATTGGAGACTGTGCTTATATTAGAGATAATACGGTATTCAAAAGGACAACAACAACAGCATTGAACCCAGTAAGTCCATACACGACAGAAGGTCACTGTTTTCTTCACTCCAATTATCCGAGCTATTGTCTTTTCTCCATTTCCATCGTGATCATAACATTGGACGTGAGCGCCTGTTTGACTTGTGATGTAAAATAGAACAGATGCAAACACAGTCAAACCTCATTAGGACGAACACCAAGAAAGCGATGGTCTTTGTTCGCAATAACGGGAGTTCTTCTTATCCGTACACCCAGTGACTACACAGTGATCAATCCAAAAGAGTTGTGAATGCTAGCTCTTCTAAACCGAAAGTGTGTCTAATCAGCAATCTTCCTAAGGAGGTTTCACAGCACCACAGGTCTACTCTGGTTAGTAGACAACCGGGGGGGGGGGGGGAACCCGGGGGTTCTAATTCTCTGTCTTTCAACGAGTACTATCTACTAGCCGGACTTGCATGTACGCATTTCAAGCACGGAGGGATTTTGGGCTGTTGTCTACCAATGCGGTTTTTCTTATGACCGATGTTGTACTAAACGTGGATAGACCTGTACTCACCCATGACACATTGGGCGTGACAATGCATGAGTACGTCACGACCTCGCTCGCCTGGAAACGGAACTCTGCGTAGTTGTTAGGGCTCCACGGGAAGTCCAGGGAGTAGATAGCCCTGGGCTGCTTGTGGTTTTCGGAAGAAATGACGATCATTGGCGGAGTCAAATCTGTGCAGGGTGGTGATGGAAAGCAAAGCCTTGTTATCCAAAGAAAAGAAGGAGTCCTAAATTAAGGAATTCAATAAGAAAGAGTTGATCGTGACGGCATGTCCACACACACGCAAGCACGCATGCACGTACACACACAGCAAGGTAGCATTGCAGCATGGTTCATTTCCAGAACGCATTCTCGTGACTGCCTTCAGTGGAGATCGTCACTGGTTGATAACAATGCATAGTAAATTGTCGTGTCTCTTCCCCGAGGGAACTCGTGACGGAGGTTAACATCAGGAAAATCCAGCGGCAGATGCAGCGCATATCCGTGAGTGTGAGGGACAAAGTCTCACAACCACTGGCACATTACTAATGATTTCTCTTTATCCGATCCCCGCGCCTGTAATTCTCTTTCTCTTATTGGCCACAGGCCATCGTGAGAATAAAAGATGTCAAAAATACATGCTAGTGCCAACAAAAACATTGGATAAAGTCCTGTCTGTGTTCGGACACAACACATGTTCCGAAGTCAAACCTAGATGTGTGAATATGGTCATCAGACTGGGCACTGCCGCCCAGTAGTATTGGCCGTTTGAAGAATACTATGATGCTAACATACCCTGGTATTTGTAAGGTTGAGGGAATCGGAGAATGGAAAATATTATCACCCGGGTTCGTCATTCCTTCATTTCTTCGACTTCCAGTGACGTTATCTAGACAGTGGCGCAGAACACATCTTACCCACAGTGAACAGCCATGGCTTTCCCGGTCCTACATTGCCAGCACGGTCCACAGCACGCACCAAGAACGTATGATCACCGACAAAGTTGATCTGAGTGCCAGTCTGAATAAGGGGAACAACACAGAAACCCAGCAGGATTAGGAAAGGTGTGTATACACAGAGACCCCGCAGCATTATGAGGGGTATTATAATACTCTTGTCTTACCCCCTACCCCAGCTCTTTCCCCTGCCGGCGCCTACCATCTCTACCGATAACTTCTACCCCTATCCCTACATATCGCCCCTGCCCCTAACCCCACCCACACCACTATCCCGGCCCTGCCCTACTCAAACCCCCACATACCGCCCTTATCCCTAACATTTACCCCTACCCATCACACCTACCCTACCCCCTTCCCCTCCACGCCACCCCCCCCCCCCCCCCAAAAAAAAAAGGACAACAAAACAAAGCACACTAAGCAAACGATATGCAAGCTGAGATACTACACAAAAGTTTACAAAATGCAATAGCAATTTGGTGCAAATGTGCACGAGGTTCATCGATTGGCGAATCTGGATTGAGTGCGAGCAGCCGGTGTGGTCTGAGCAACGCTGGCCCAATCGAACAAAACAAGGGTGTAGTACGCAACATGTACACATATCGTACAACGATTCTGTGAAAGCCGTCAAAAAGCGCCCAAAGTCCATTTCCACTCCAGCCACTCCCGGTGTAGTGGGGTTCCACTCCAAGTACACCTACTCCGGATTCGGCCAATCGATCACACTCACTCGGAGCGCACTTGCTCGGGATTCGCCCAACCGATCATGCCCTAGGGCATATGCCTGGTGCCAGACTAGATGCACAGTTGGATATTTTGGTGTGTACTTGTGTGGTATTGATGGCGTACCTGTGAGAAGATGTACTGCTGAAGAGTGAGCATCATGACATTGTTGGACACGGTGGCAAGGAACGGTGCACTCAGGCACGGGATCCATGATGTGCTGCAGTCGCCAGTAGATGTGTACACAGACATGCGCATACACACATACATACACAGACGCAGGCACACAGACACAGACAGACACAAACACACAAACACACACACACACAGACGGACACAAACACACACACGCACACACACACGCACACACACACACACACATACACATACATCCATCAAGCTCATGTCTCACCGATTGCATTGAAAGCAAACCATGATACAGCACTGTCGGGCACAGCAGAAAGAACATGTCATGCTGTCACAAAGCACAGCGTACCGACATACACACAGTGACGCAACTGCGCCTGGAGCATAGGCTGCATAGTACAATAAAAAATGAATGACCTAGACTATGGCGCTGGTCACTGGCTCTACAGCACCCGACAATAAAGTTGACCAAATCACAGTGTCATCTCACACTGTCTGGGGTAGTACGAAATGCTAAAAATGAAACAGGTTTAGTCTCAGCAAGCTCAGTCAAGCTCTGACACAAAGGCATACAGATACCAAGCGGGGAGAATCGTTTTTTAACCCAGGTGATCAATAATCGAATTTTGAAGGAACATGAAAAAAGCACAGGCCTGTGGGCATAGTGGGCCTAGAGTTCTGTGCTGGTAATCTGCTCTGCCATGGTGGCAAGGGTTAATACAGTGGAGATTCCACTTGACAAGCGAGTCGAGTTTGTGTCTGATTCTTAGCACATGGGCTTATAAATGGAGGTGGGCAGAATCACGGTATGCTGTTGGTATGCTGTTTTCCAGTACATGTACTGCACATCATCTCTCACCTGCCACTCTGGAACTGCTTGGAGCGGTACTCGCATTGGTACGTCGATTGTGCCTCGTTGGACATGGCCCAGAAGGTGGAGTTCAGCTTGTTTGTGAAGCGCTTTGGGAACTTGGAGTACGTGACGAGTGGACCCACGGTGTCTGCAGACACACAGATGAGACACACACGCACATGCACGCACACGCGCACACACACATACATACACACACACACACGCGCGCGCATCCACCAGATGATGATCAGAAATTGGCATATTGTTACATCACTGTACTGCCAAGAGAATGACCGTCGCAACACAGCTGAAGGTTGCTACACCATTGCAGGTTGGGTGTAATCTGATGAGGTCCACAAAGTGTGCTAGAAACTCAGAGCTTCAGCACATAACGTGTTTATGTCTACCAGGTGTGATGTTTTTTGTTTTGTTTTTCTTTCTTTGCATGATGTGCAGTGTTCTCTCAACGTACTGTCTACATGCGGAGAGCACACCAAACAACCACCTCTATCATGCAGTATTCTGTTCTCGAGGTTCGTGGTTTCTCGTAAAAAAAAACTGATCACGGTCTGGTTGTGGGGCATGAAAGGTTTTGACTGCGTAGTGTTTTTGACGGCCATTTGCTGGTGCAGTCATGGGACTATACTGACTACACATGACCTACGTGCCTGTTCGTGCAAAGCAGCAGCAGCAGGTCGTCTCTCACCGGTTATCCAGGTCCAGTAAGGTTGGTCCCACGCCATGGTGACATGGCCGACGGGGTCGGTGGCGCGTACGCGGAACGTGTGCTCTCCGTCCTTCAGCGACGACACGCGGTAGCCGGACATGCAACCGATCCAGGGGAGCTGAAGACAGAACAACAAAAGGACCAAATGAGGCAATGTAGAAGACTGTATTCTCCGGAGCATAAATTACCTGCACTGGAGTATAATGAAGTTTTTTTCTTCCTGTCAACTGCATACTAGTATTTGTTTTCGTTTTTTTTTGTTCTTCGCCGTGGTTGGCTATCACTCTCTCCCCTCTGATTGGCTGTTGTTTTTTTCAGCTATGGGATGAAGCAACAATAATAATATTAATAATTATAAAAGTTGAAGGCACCACTGCAGCTGTACTTATGGTTGATAAATATGGTGGTAAAGACACACCTGGCAATATGGCGGTAAACACACGCCTGCCCACACACGCTCTCTAGCCTGCTATGTCGGATACCGCCAACCACGCATCGACTAGGCGCCAGGCGCGAGCTGATGGTGGTGGTGGTGAGAAGGAGAGCTCTGTGCCAGAACTTTGCAGCCTAGAGAGCGTGTGTGGGCAGGCGTGTGGTCACCACCATATTGCCAGGTGTGTCTTTACCACCATATTTATCATCCATAAGCACTGGAGTATAAGCCGCACCCAGATCAGGACAGCCGGAAGCAGTGTTAGATTGGTGCGGTCATACCATAACACCTTTCATACAGGAATGGACTCGGGCCTTTCATACAGGAATGGACTCGGACCTTTCATACAGGAATGGACTCGGACCTTTCATACAGGAATGGACTCGGACCTTTCATACAGTTTGTGTATGATAGTAGATAAACATTACCCCCCCCCCCCCCCCCCCCCAGAGGTAAACATGAGTCGGTGGTCAACAAGTTGGCACCACCAAATGTCTGTACTTGCCATCTTTTTAGATTGCTGTTGGGTTTCAGTTCACGTCATGATTTTTTCGTATCGAGATATCGTGTATTGGAGGGTGGGGGCTGATGAAGGGGAGGCAGAGAAACACAGAGAATGCGCACTGTACACGGTCTCAGACGTATCCTGAACCTGTGGTGCACGTCCTCCATTGTCATAACTTACTTGCATGCTGAACCTAGGTCGAACTGTTTAGGAGGGTGCACATGCCCCCCCCCCCCCCCCCCCCCCCCGTGACCTATGCGAGCTGCGCCCCTGGGACACAAAGCAAGCTGCTCTTCCGCACATGGGAGTACATCATGTAATATCAGATTTCTACTGGATATGTGAGTTGGTGGTACTTACCGTGTCTATCTGACATTCCATGGTTGAACCAGGCTCAGTCGCAAACCTGTACGACGCGCAACGTGGAAATAGCACATATGCAGGAAAAGTGAAAACATACACAATCATATGCATGCCCCCCCCCCCCCCCACACACACACATAAGGGAGTTTGTCCGGTTGACAGTTTCGTCCATGGATCACAAGAGTGTGTACTGAAAAGCTGGACAAATCGACATTAGTCCGACATTTAATTTAGTCCAAAAGCGCGTTGGACGAAAAAGATGAAATTAAATTCCAGACGAACATTTCTGCTTATACAGTATTTTGACGGCCATGTACTAGTGAGGTGACCAGAGTATGCTGACCGCACATGAGCCACAGCACTATAGGGCAACGAAGAATGGAGCGTCGAAGAGCGACCAGGCTAGGGTTTCACCAAGAACAGCATACGAATGTATACACGGTGGCTAACTGTGCCTTGACGGCAGTACATGAAAATAAGAACGGTCTAGGCTAGAAGGCTGACCCCCCCCCAGTTCTTCGGCGACCGATAATACTGTGCGCCGCTGAAAACACCAGTGCCATCATCGCATCACTAGTACTTACGCAAACGTCACAAAGACAATGTTGGAGTAGGAGCCATTCTGCAGCACAATGGGATTGCCCAGACGAACACCTTGAGTGGCCCAAGTGCTGGGGTTGAACGTCACCATTGGAGGGTGAAGATCTGATCGTTTGATGGGAAAACAAAAGAAGAAGTTGGTACCAGAACAATTGAGTAAAAAGTATGAAGATATTAGTATATACACTTGACTGCACCTTCTGTGATCCACGTGTTTGCAGTGTAATTGAGGGCTGGGGGTGAGGCGAGCTTTTGCAGATCGCTTGCATGTGTTGTTCGTTCCGCCCTGCGGCTAACGACACTTGATCGTGCACGAGAAAAGCGTCGTCGGTCGCAAGTTGTTGTTCGTGAGGTTGAACGTATGCAGTAGAATGGTCGCTACGTCAGAAGACTGTGTCGTTATTCACGAGTTGTTGTTATACGCGAGGTCACTATTGACAAGGTAGTCTGTAATGCTCCAATGGGTTGCAATGCGTGTACAGTAAAACCTGTCAAGGCGCCCACCTGTCCTGGAAGACCACTGCAACCAGGACCAAGGGATGCTATTTCCAGTCAATTGACCCTGGATAAGAAGGCCACCTGGTAACAGAGACCACGTTTTGAAGGTCCCTTGAGCGGTCGCCTTAGACAGGTTTCTCTGTATATCGTGTACTGGGAAGGAAAGAGGTGGTCGTGTGCATGCATGATCATCTTGTGCTGGCATAAAGCGTGGCTCGAGCTAAAATGTTTTTGTGCACCAGCACAACTTCTCCAGGCGTCAGGGGCCCAGCCTCCCCGCTCATCCGACTCGCCACACACACAACAGCGCGACTGAACTAAAAGTTCTACATAATTTCTTGACAAGACGGAGACGGACAGACAAGAAGACCGGACACGACGACGCAAAACTGATAACTGAAGAAAAGGACAAACCTCGCGGCAGCATATATGAGCATGCGCGCAAAATAATGTGGCACGCGCGACAATGACGTAAGCGTTCCGTGGTGTATACATGCACAGAAGACTGCACATGCAACCAAAACAATGCAACAAAGTCAAGACTAAACCACTACGAAAATAAAAAATAAAGAACAACATAAATATGCCTTGAAAAGCCTTTCACTCTAGACCCGTTGCGCAACAAAGGTAATACATATCCGAACCGGTCCAGTTGGTCAGGTTATAACCGGATCAACGTTTTGGCTAGCAGCAACACGTGTTTCCTACTGTGGTGGACATGTGTACAGTCAACATCGCTAATAACAACTGCGGATACAACGACAATTCGCGAATAACGACAGAATTTTCATGCCCAGAGCAAAGTCCCATCTAACTGAAATATATTATATAAAGAGAGTTCGGGTATAAGGACACTTCGCGAATAAGGACACTTTTCTGATGCCCCGCCGAGTGTCAGTGTACGCAAAGTTGACTGTGCCTGCAGTATTGTATACAAAGTATGAAAGGCCATGACACTACCGGACCAGTCAAATACTGTTTCCGGCGCTCCTGCACATCTAACCACGCAACGACAACGAGCAGGAACCCCCACTTACCGACTTGCCATGCGTACGTGATGGCCGGAGCAGCGTTGCCGTAAAAGTCAACAGCCACCACTGCAAAGATGTGATTGAACTGTAATGATAAGGACGCACATGAATAGCAAACACTCCTGCATTTGTAGTTGTTACACTTTCTGACTCTGTATACTGTAACGTGAGAAACTTTTGCTGGAGATTAAATTTCGCTATCTCCGCGACCATCACACATTCGCGAATATAAATCGCCGCAAACCTCTCCGTACATTGATTGTAGACAGTACAAGATCCGACTGAAGAGATAGAATCGCAAAAGTGTCCTATCATGAACTGGCCCAATTCATGAAAACGCTAAATTTGCGCACCGTGAACATTAAAATTATTTTGTCGCTTCACAGAAGTATCTACTGCAAGTGTATAAACTGTCAGCCTATTTAGATTTCGCCCTTCCAGAACTAAAACACATTTTTTTCTGTCCACACTTCCTGGAGGCGCACCAAAAGAACGCACAACTGATATTCCTTAGATGCCGCACTGGTGAGCAATGGTTTCAACTACAAAAGTACAAGGCTAACCGTAGCACCTCATCATTCCGACGCAGCGGCGTCGGACCCGGTACGGTCACTACGGTATTGACCGTACCAAGTTTTGCCGTAGGTACCCCGTGAATCAATGAAATACACTGACCTGCGTTCTAGATTTCCGAAATTTTCAGCTTAGCCACCCCTCCCTCACAAGTAAATTGTACTTCAGATGGGTGACCGTACTAGACTAAATATACCTTTCCATGCCCCTGAGACATACATATACATGTATTTCTGTACACAATTGTACAAGCAAACACATGCACACCTTGACCTTGACCTTGATCTTGCCCATTGCGTACGCAATGATAGCGAATGTCGGAAAGTTCAAGTGAGAACACGAGCGCACATGCACACACACACACACCACACATACACACACACACACACACACACGCACACACACGCACACACACGCGCACACTCGCGCATACAAAGGCCGATACGGGAGTCGCAGGATCCTTACCGAATGCGTCAGATTCTGGAGAGTCCATCGGTATCTACCGGCCGTTGGTACAGGCGTACAGTTGAACTGAGCACCGTTATCCAGACTGCAGAAGAACTGCGGTGGTCTTGCTGCTGGCTCGGTGGTGGTCCATTCAAAAGTGGCACTGTCAATAGCTATCGCTTTCTGCAGTGGAACAAGTAAACAGGAGGCAAAGGAGATTAGCCAGATGCAAACATAATATCATTTTCGCATCGAAGCGGATCAAGCTTCTACAGGAGCTGGAGTGGTGTGTCACTCGGCAAGGAGCACATCCATTGTCGCAAATCTATGTACTTCTGGCCTGCCGTGGTAATGGACACCGGTTTTGCAATGCTGTAATGGGTCGATACCTTCAACGCAACGCCCGGAAATGGTCCGACCAGCAGGACAGGAGCTGGAGTGGTGTGTCATTCAGCAAAGGAGCACATCCATTGTCGCAAGTCAATGTACTTCTGGTCTGCCATGGTAATGGACACAAGTTTTGCAATGCTGTAATGGGTCGATATCTTCAACTCAACGCCCGGAAATGGTCCGACCAGCAGGACGCACTATGACAGTAGGGAGTTTATATCTCAATATAGGTGGGATATTGTCCGCTTGGGGCTTACTTGTCTCGCAAAACTCAGTCGAGTGTCAAGTTCGACAGGAAGCGCGAGCCTCATGGAGCAGCTGCCGGCTGTGTCTACTCAGTAAAGAGTTTCAGGGTATGGCTTGAAAGAAATTTCAACCTGTGTGTCTCCCTTTGCCTGGCACAGGCAACTTACCGATGGTGTCTGGGTGAAGGTTGTGGTGGGAGGTATACGATCTACAAGCAGCAAAGGACAAGATATGAGACCAAAGTCACCACAACAGGGATGCACCTAAGCATTATCGCTTTCTTTAACGGGGAAGTGCATCGATTCTGAAGTAGGGTTCGGACGAAAGACAATTTTTTTTACCATATGCAAGCGTGGGATACGCCATTCGAACCGATAACTAACGGTCTTTCATCTGAGCCCTACTTGAAAAATCGATGCACCTCACCTTAAAAAATTTGAAAGTGGCAGATACAACGAATGAACAAGCACGCAAACACACGCATGCATATGCCATGCGCCCCCCCCTCCCCCAAACACACACACGCACACACGTGCACAACAGGTACTTACCGATGCTCCAGCTGTACTGCAGCTCGTCAGGACCCATTCCCACGTTGGTGGCGTTGTCCGTGGCAACCACTTGGAACGTGTGACGCTCCACACGGCCGACGGCAGTCAGTGAGGTGTACGTAATCGGGCTGAATGGGCATAATCAAGGAGAGAGATAACAATACGCATGGGTTAAGGTAACTTCAGCCCTCACCAACGCTGTACAAAGCGTCACTGGCCCGTTTCTCAACGGTCGCGCAAATCGACCAATCAGCGTACAGCTAATGTACCAAAATTCTCAAACTTACCGTAATTCCTTGGTTCATACGGTGTAGTTTCCAAAGATTTTTTATGGGCCAACGTCTTCTTTCGATAGATACCAACAGATCGTCCGCTTCGAATTTTTCGATTTGATTGACGTTTGGCCGAAAATTACCTCCGAAACCGGCCTCCATTCGTTTCACTTCAAGGCTTTCCAGGTGGACGGCATCGCAATTCGGAAGCGGAGAAAGGATAGCCAGTGAAAAAAGAAAAACAACGACGTATTGGTTGTCGAAATCGACCAAGAAATGAATTCAATAGACCTGTTTCCGTGCTGCGCCTTCGCGGCCCGCGCGAGTGCGAAAGGGATTCTTTCTCGACAAAACAAACAACTACTAATACGCGCAGTACACTGACATCACTGCACTGGCTGTATATACCTTAGGAATATCCTGTTCTTTTCCAAGGCATGATTGTCGCTAGTGGGAGAACTCAGCCACCTGAAGCTTTCATAAAGGAGGAAGTAGTAGGTGAATGAGTTCGCCAGAAAATGGAACGACAAGAAAATAGATACTGTTGCTTTCCGGGGCGCTCATGACACGACGGCAAGATAGGACTGAAACGATCGACAGTCTGCCTCGACGCAAAAGAAACTCTTCTAGGAGGAGCTCGACGTGCTGTAGAGTTTGCAGTATTCTGCTGGAAGAAGACAAGAGAACTAAACTCAGACTACAGCGTGGAGCTGAAGCACGAGCGAAGCAAAAGCTGAAGCAAAAGCTGAGCGAGTTGGAAGAAATGGGGAAACACAGAAAAATGAGTGGGCGACATGATCTTTAGCTCGCGACCTCGAAACTCGCGCTGAGACACGCGGTGGGCACGTGCGCCTACGGGTAGCGCGGCCAGCCACCATGTTTTCAAAATGGAGGTCGACGCTTTTGAAATCCGTGTAGACGATGGTGAGGGCTGAACTTGCGACAGCTGCCGCCATTTTGACCAAAAACCAACGGTTGTGGGTTCGAACCCCGCTTTTGACGACCTTTTTTTCTCTTATTAATTTTTTCGTCCCTCTTTTTAGGTAGTTCGGGACAGTTAGGTTGAAATTTTGAAAATGCATCCATTTACTCACTGCAGCACCTTCTGTTGACGTGTCATCAAATTTTTTCATAAGACCCTACGGTATTGTGCATGTCAAAGGTGGGTCTTTTGTGCCTCTTTCGACACCAAACATGAATGCATCGGATACAAACTGAGTGAGTTACAGCCTGTTAAAGTCATCAACGGATTGCTGTAGATTTGGTGACTGTCTGTACGGGCGCCAACGGATTAAAATTAGCTTGAAGTTACAGCTACTCAGCCTCCAACCTCCGTTGTAGTGGTGTAACTTTATTACCTGCATAGTGGTGTAACTTTGTGACTTGTATAGTGGTGTACCTTTATGACTTGTATAGTGGTGTAACTTTATGACCTGTATAGTGGTGCAACTTTATGACCTGTATAGTGGTGTAACTTTATGACCTGTATAGTGTTGTAACTTTATGACCTGTAGAGTGGTGTAACTTTATAACATGTATAGTGGTGTAACTTTATGACCTGTATAGTGGTGTAACATCTTGACCTGTATAGTCGTGTAACGATAACGAACACTGCCACACATTCTTACCTGACACACGGAGTGAGCGGGGCGCTATCCAGACTGCACTGCATGGTGCAGTTGTACAGCGGGCATGGGTTGCGGATGACGGTCGTGTAGTGGCCAATGGCGTCCGTGCGCTCCGGGAACTTATCGATGGAATGGAAGGCGAATGTCATGGACCTGCAGTGTGCACATATCACAGCATGCTATTTGCTAATACAGTCAAAGCACAAACACGCAGATGCAAGCTGCGGATCCACAAGTGCTCCTTGTAACAATTCCGGAGTATGTGGACATCAAGCCGTTTCTGACAACCTACATCATCTGCATGCGATCTAAGAGAAGACAGCAAATTGGAGGCTTGCACAGGCCTTGCAGCCATGTGCCTGCATGTGCATGCAAAAGTTATCGACCCCGCTTATTTTTCTTGATCCATTGCATATTGCCTTCCCGGGTAATTTCCACCTAGCTGTTTCTGGCTGGTATCAGTTCTATCACACTCATCAATCTTCCTTGTCGGTGTCACGCCATTGTGGAATAAAAGAATAATAATAATAAAAGACTACAGAACTGTTCAGTGAGACTTCATTAGTACAGTCAAAACCTGTCAAGGTGACCACTCGGATAAGGCGACCACCTGTCATAAAAGACCACTGCAACCAAGACCAAGGGAAGCAATTTCCACCCAAACTACCCTGGATAAGGAGACCACCTGGTAACGGAGATCACATTTTGAAGGTGCCTTGAGCGGTCAAGTTGACCACTCGAATAAGGCGATCACCTGGCATAAAGGACCACTGAAGCCAAGACCAAGGGATGCTATTTCCACTCAAATAACCCTGAAAAAGGAGACCACCTGGTAACGGAGGTCCCTTGAGCGGTCGTCTTAGACAGGTTTCACTGTACCAACGGTTTGCCGGTCTGACTTACGGTGAGTTGGTGGTTTCACCGTTGGGCGTGTTGGGCGTAGTGGAATCCAGAACAACATTCGGTGCCTCCAGATCTGGTGGCCCAGGCACACACACACACACACACACACACACACACACACACACACACACACACACACACACACACGCACGCACATACACACACAGAATAGGAAACAAGCGTACAAATTGCTTAGGTCTTGGCACAAATTGTATGGCTAGCCGGCGACACAAGTACATTATTCAACATTCTAGATCATGACGTTGAGTCAGCACTGGTCACCACTTGGAATGGAGGAGGAAAAGGCTGGTAAGACCTAGTGCACTCTCGGCTGACCTTAGACCTAGACCTCGCATTCATAGTGAACTGCACATGTGCGCGGTGAAATCTAACCCAGAGTGGACAATTCGTGCCCTCAACTTGCACGGACCTTGATGCCCTGGAAGTGCAGGACAGCCGGACGCAGTTTTCAATTGGTCCGGTTCCATCATAGCCTGCCATACTTTGTGTAAAATATGGCGGGGACGTAGGCCCTGCTCAGCAGTAGACATGTGCTGATAGTTACAAAGTTGGTACGGTGTTAACCTGACCAACCGGACCGGCTCCGGCGAACCTGAAGTGGCATGAATGCGGCTGGACGTACACATGTACTCCTAAAACGATGTACAGTAAAAGCTGTCAAGGGGACCACTCGGATAAGGCGACCACCTGTCCTAGAAGACCACCACAACCAGGACCAAGGGGTGCTATTTCCAGTCCAATGACCCTGGATAAGGCGACCACCTGGTATCAGAGGCCACATTTTGAAGGTCCCTCGAGCGGTCGCCTTAGACAGGTGTCATTGTATTTAAAAAACCCACTCACCGACAGTGAAGTCGTAGCGCTGCGAGGCACCGTAGTTACCGGCGGCGTCGATGGCGTTTACCTGCATCGTGTACGGTCCCTCTAGTAGACCCGTTGCGGGTACTCCCTGGACCTGGGACGCAGCAGAAGCTGTTCACACGATAGTATGACAAGCAACGCAAAACATAAAAACAAAGAATTCACTACTCGCGTCAGACTCGGCTAGAGGCCTGGTTTTCCGCATCCGTAGGCTCGTCACCACCCTTCAAGAAGCAACACAAGGCAAAACTTAATAGTCACACATTGCACGCGATATTTCCATGCTCCACTTCGTACATCGGTATGAATTGCAGGGCTGCCACTTGTTCCGGTTTTTCGGAAATACTCCGATTGCTCCGACAAGCCGACCGAACAGATACTACACTATCTTACTTGGATTGTGGACTAAGGCTGGGTTTACATGAGAAATTTCAACCCGGGTCGAGTTCAGCCCGGGTTGAAAGTCTGTACGATAGACAAAAGAGGTGAGCGTTTACATGAAGACAGTTGACCCGGGTCAAATACTGATATGCCGCCAAAAGTCCACTTCTACAGTCCTATATGGTCACGTGAATCCGTTCGAGCGAAATTTGCATCTGCAGTGCCGTTCAAACCTGGCGCGAGATACGCACAGAAGTACGTTTGTACGATTTTCTTGACCCGGGTTGATTTCAACCCTCCCCTTGGGGGGGGGGAGGGTTGAAATCAACCCGGGGCGAAATTTCAACCCGGGTCAAGCGCAATGCGTCATGTAAACGCGCCGTTCATTTTGTGCACATTGCGGGTTGAAATCTGACCCAGGTCGAACTCAACCCGGGTTGAAACGCTTCATGTAAACACAGCCTAAAATGCAAAAATACGAGGTGTTTCAGGCCCTCAGGATACCAAAAATGATTCGGTCTCTACAGGGGGGGGGGGGGGGGGGGAGAAACTGCCCCCTTTTACTTCTCTTGACCCTCCGGCCAGAGGTGACCCCTTCATATTATAACCCACAGAAAATTGGCAGTCCTGGAATTGTGTGTGTTCAGCTTTGACGAGTTCCTATTTCACACAAGCAGGACAAATTGAGCCCCCACCCCTGTCTCACTGTGAAAATGTGGCGCCCTATACTCCTTTGTCGACCTTTGTATTTTTCGTGCCATTCACCAAAAATGCCGTCAAAAATGCCGTAAATAGTCACTACTGGAGGGTTCATGAAGGCACATTTGTCTGGAGCGAAGTCGGGGGTTCACCCTGCCTTTGCATGGCAAGACAATTTTCGAAAATGGAGAACGGGTTACGGGACAACTGCTTCCAAAGCCCACCTACTATGCACAAATCTATATCATTCCTTGGTGCTGACTGATTTAATGCGCTTCCCGAATCCCTTCGCACAAATCATATCCCCAATTCATTTCGCGTGGAACTTAACAATCATTTCATTCATCTTGGGCACCCTGTAAGAAGACATTTTAGGGTCTGTTGGGAATGTCCAAGTAAAATAATAAAATACAATACAATACAATTGTTTTCAACCTGGCTAGAACACTGCATAGAGATACGATTATGTTAGTCTGGATGGGGACGCGACAACAAGCACTCACCGACATCAGTTGTCTGAAAGCATGAGAAGCTGATTGGCAGTGTGCCGGGCAAGGCAAGCTGGCAGCTGTACGACAGACCACCGATTTGAGTACCTATATGCAGGAAAAGAGCAACGAGAGGCAATGGAAAAGATTTAAATACGCTCAGGAGGTATTTACATAAATATATTATGAAAAAGATCCTCTATCTCGAGACAGATGTACATGATAGAAGGTGAAAGAGATAATATCGCGTTCACGCCATGTGAGTGAGTGAAGACCTGTGATTCTTACACCTGCTGGGTCATCCAATACCGGTAAAATCCATCACACACAAACATAAGCACAGTGATTGCGTTGCAATGCATACACAGACAAGCACTAAGTGCGTCATCCTGCCTGCGAATGTGAACTGAAACGGTCACACAATACTATGAACTTATGCTCAGTCATTCTGCAGCGACGCGCGCGCGCACACACACACACACACACACACACACACACGCACACACGCACGCACGCACGCACACACACACACACACGCACACACACGCACACTGAGTCATCCTACCTGCGACTGTAAACTGGAACTGGGGCATTTTCGTGTTGGTCTGCAGCTTGGGCTTGACGGCTATTTGAGGCTTGGGTGGTGGTGTTGTGTCTAAAAATGAGACATAGACAGAACAGCACACACGCACAAACACATGCAAAAAGTGGTACGGTCAATACCGTAGTTACCGTAGCGTGTTCGACACCTCTGATACGAAATCTGGTGACACAGTCTCACACAGTAGTACACTGCAGGAACCTTACCAACGCGCCACTGGAAGACGGACGTGGTGGAGTTCACTCCAAACGCGTTTGTGTAGTTCACCGGTCGGCGTACGTTCATCAGTGTCTGGATGTTGCCAGCCCAGTCCTGAACCTGGATCTGCAGGGTATGCTCCCCCTGCATATACACACACACACAAATAAAGAAGTAAATCATCGTGTCCGTTCCCAGGGGAACTCACAACAGCCGCTTAAAAAATGAAAATGAAGTTTGCACATCTGCGTTACCACCGGCTTACGATTGTGTTGAGAAACACAACCAGCTTAGAGTTTCGATCGTGCCAGGCCATCACCATTCCTGATTCGACCAGGGTGGCAGATGCTAACACACGGTAAATCTAGCCGCGGGCTGATGCATGGCCTAACGGTTGAGCAATTGCTACGGGCCAAGCAGATGACGATTCATAATCACACGACAGTCACACAAACGTATTGTGGAAGGGACATAATAGTGCAATAGGCATGCATCTATACTCTGTCCACACCAGTCTACAAGAAAAAAGTCAAAGATTTTCCGAACGAAACGTTTTCGTTCCCTTTCTCATCATGGGCCCAAAGAGGAAATAAAGCGACATGACTGAAGTACCCGTAACCCCTTCTTTGGATTATTGGTGTGTGTAATGGCTACTAAGGGTAGTCGCCTGAGAACGCTTGGAGGAGAAGAAAAGGAGAGATTGATGCATGACTAAAACAGCAACTATTTAGGAAAATGGGACATATGAAAGCTTATCAAACCCATTTGAAAAGAGTAGGATGAATTCAGCTCACCTGTGCTAGTCCAGTGTAAGGCTTGGTGGGACAGGCGGTAAAGAGACCGGATCCGTCACGGCGACAAGTAAAGTCAACTTGCCTGC